ACACACACACACACACACACACACACACACACACACACACCTCACTTAGCTCCTTTTCTGCCACCCCTTCTCAAAATGTATCAGTCCATCATGAACAGCAGAGGGCACTGTCGAGCTTTCTGGAGAGCCTATCCCAGGGGTTCCCTCTGAAATGCCCATCATCCTTGTCTGTGATGACCTGTGTTCCAGACCCCTTTCCCTTGCACCAGCCCATTGGAGAAAGAAAACTCTGGGGGCTGATGCCGACTGTGGACAAGGGCTGGGGCTATGCCTGCCTCCTAGCCTGGCCTGTGCTTCTCCCTGCATCCCTCTGTGTTTGCATGCCTCGGTGTCCCCGGTGTGCAGCAGTCTGCGTGACCACCTGAGCCACTCCACCACTGTCTGTGTTATGTACATTTGTGCAAGTGTAATTATGTGTGCAGCAGAGCCGACTCCATCCAGTACCTCAATGTCATTGGGTTGGCGGGGAATAAAACCTGCTTGAATCTGAGTGTCTCTCTGGGGGAGGAGGAGTGAACACGTACCTGAGACCTCGCCCAGAGTGCCAGCCACTCTGCCAGATGGGAAACCAGCCCATACGTGGACCAGACAGAAACCTGATGGCAAAGTAAATGAACACCAGGCCCAAAGCTTTCTGGAAACAGATTTCCTGCTGCTTCTCCTGTCAGAGCCTCTACGTTTGCATGAGGGTCCATGAAACACCGAACACTCAATCCTTGATAGCCAAGAGGAAGATGGAGCTCATGCAGCTTGAAGGTTCCACCAAAGCCACTGCTGACCTGTCCACCCTGCCCCATTAGCACTCCTTTCCAGAGCCCCTGACCTGTCCCAGGAAGACATGGCTGTCTGCTATGCCTTCTCTGGGATGGGCCTGGTGTGCAATGGTTCCCCGGCTGTCCTGTCTGTGCCGTCTGGTGTTGGCTCCTGTAGAATAGATCCATTGCCATGTCGCTTCATATAAACCCTACCTACTAGTGCATGTAGCTTCCTGCTGGAGGATGATGGGAATGGACCCTTGCTCTGTCTGGATGGTTGCATAACACAGGGAGGCCGGCTGGCAGGCCCCACCCCGTCCTTCCTTCCTGTGTATACACACAGTGACTGAACTGTTGTCTCTCATCCCTGTGAAATGCCCCTGCCATCCCTCACCTCTGACCTTTCCAAGTTAGAACATGTTCTGGTAAAAACCATTCCTTCCCACAGGTAAGTATGTGTGTATGTGTGGCCAAGCAGAAGACAAGATATCACTCAGGAAAGATAGAACTGTTGGAGAGGAAGGAAGAATGTCTGGTGGGGTTTTTTGTTTTTTTTTTTTTTGTCAGTCATGGGGCTTGAACTCAGGGCCTGGGCGCTGTCCCTGAGCTTGTTCACTCAAGGCTAGTGCTCTTCCACTTCCAGCCACAGTGCCACTTCTGGTTTTCTGGTGGTTAATTGCAAATAGTCTCGCAAACTTCCCTACCTGGGCTGGTTTTGAACCAAGATCTTCAGATCTCAGCCTCTTGAGTAGGTAGGATTACAGGCATGAGCCACCAGCGGCTGGACACTCCTGAGTGTCAGCGGGCCAAAGGAGACTTTGGGGGGAGGTTTTTCCTGCATTCCTCTGATCTGTTCTTCCTTCTGAGCTACCTGAGTGTGTCAGGTGGTCTGAGGCTGGGATGGGGAAGAAAAGGGAACAACAGGCATATTCATTTGTCCCCTGTTTGGACAAAGAGCCAGGGTGGACTTCTGCAGCCCTAAGGCGATCTGATGGTTTTCTCCTTAGGAAGCGGTAGCAGTGGGCAGGCAGCTGCTGTATCCTCACCCAACGCCCTCCGCCTTGTGCACCTCCCCTTTACCCGGGAAGGAGCCCTCGTGAATGTCCTTCATCTTCTGTGTTCTGGCTGCCTCAGACTCCCAGGATAGCAGTTGTAGCTAGGTTTTCTCCAGATGGGACAGAAATGGGTTTCCTGGTGGAGGAGGATGCTAAAGGGCCCCCTGGACATCTATACACTGTGCCTGTTTCTAGGCTCTGGGGTGGGAAGCTGGGTCTGCTTTAGTCACTCACCCTAAGAGCCTCTGTGATGACAGGACAGACTTCCCCCAAAGGGATTGGTATTTCTAAACTGTGACAGCAAGAGTCTCCTTCCCTGCTGGGGACAAACATGCCCCATCTGCCTCCAAACTCCTAAACTAGATTCCAGTCTCCAAAACAGGGCCAGCCCTGGGTTGAAAGGCCACTCTGGAAAGCGGTAGCCTGGGAGCCATTCTTGATCAGTATAAACTCTTATCCAAAAGTTCAGAGTTACACCTTTTACATAGGCTCTTTCTGAGGCATCTGTGCAGCCAGCTTCCGCTAGGAGGGAAGTGGCGGAAGCATCTCATTCAGGCAGAATGCAGGAAGTTGGGGTTCCTGGGTCTTCTTTGCCATAGTCTCAGATGTTTATGTGGCTTTGGGAAAATAGCCAGGACTTACTTGTAAATGTGAGTCGTCATGTCCTGGCATCTGTGTAGACAGACACTGGGTTTGCAACCAAGACCACCTTTCTGCCAGAGCTTGGCTGGCCCCAGATGCTACCCGCCCCAAACTCCCTGGGCAGCTCCTCCCCCCAGCAGCAGATTCCCCAGCGGCCCAGAGCTTTAATCAGCAGCCAGTGGCCAGACTCTGACGTCCTTGGATGGAAGCGATGTGGGTGTGGAACAGCAGCTGTGTCTCTTCTTGTCTGAACAAGCTTTCCAGTTCTTTCCCTTCCCCCGCACAAGCGGCTTTTTCAGACATTTTGCAGCGAATGCAAATCCTATGTTTGTTGGTAATGGGCAAACTCAGGCTGGAGCAACATCAGCTTTCCCCCACCCCAATCCCCCACAAACCTGGGTGTGTGCCTGTCTCCCCGGGATGTCTGAGTCAGCATGGCAGGGGTGTGTCTACCTGCAGGCTGGCAGTGTGCCCAGTCCCTGGAGAAACCTGCTTTCTCTCTTTCTGGACATCTGCCCACAGCTGGCTATGTCCAGCTCTCTTTGCTATGGAGCAGATCTTCCTCTAACCCTCTGCTACAATTTTTTTTTCTAAGTTCTTTCTTTCAAGCTGTGTTTTGGAGTATCCCAGATACAAATAGACTCAGGATGAGACTCAGTTAATATTGGAGGCACCTCAGAAATGGACTTGAAGCTGGCCACCTGAACATTCATGGGGTGGTAGATTTAGACCTGAGAACTTGGTGCCTTCTAACTCTCTTCTTTTGAATGCTTGAATGCAGCCACTGTGGATCAGAGCAACTTAAGCAGCTGCTTGCTTCTTCAGGACAGAAGCCCAAGAACCCACAAAGGTGATGGGCGTGGTAAAAACAGCTCTCAACAGGACCTTCATTCTCCTCTTCTCCAATGGTGGCAGTGGTGCCATCCACTTCATCCAGTGCCTTCTGTTCCACATCCCCCTGTCACCTTGCCAAAGCTCCTGGGTAGCATCGTGGACGCACAGATGGGAGGTGGCATTGGCTGCTCTGCGGGACCCACCCCACTCACTGCTCATGAGAGCATCTCTCCAGCTCAAGGCCTGCCTTTTGGAGAGCCACTCATCACCTGCCCTAACCTCAGCCCCTCCCAGGCTACTTCCCCTTGCTCGGCCCAGCCTTTACTTTCTTGAATGAGACATCTATCTCT